GACCGACCGACCGACCGACCGACCGACCGACCGACCGACCGACCGACCGACCGACCGACCGACCGACCGACCGACCGACCGACCACATTGCAGAACGTAGGCCTGTGATCTGAAGGTCACTGGTTCAACTCCCCGTACTGACAACATCAAATGTTGGTGGGAAATGTGAAACGCCCACACCTGTCTCCACCCTCATTTGCCCCACTCTGGGCCCTTGGTCAAGGCCCTTAACCCCCACCATCTGCTCCCCCGGGCACCTTAGAGGTCAGCTCTCTGCTCCACACAGAGGGCTGTGGTAGCTCGGCAGTCTGTGGTTGTGTCAGGAAGGACCTCCAGAGTAAAAACAATCACCAAGTCTTCATGTGACTTTGTTCACTGTGGTGACCCCTGAAGAAGGAAGCAGCTGAAAGAAGAAAAATATATCAAGGTTCAAACTAAATGGCTACAACTCATTTGTCAACATAAGATGACCTTAGAGTAAAACTTTGTGATGAAATGTGGCAGGTGATATGTGCTCCTTCAAGGCCTCTAAGTCTTAACATATACTCATAGGCAGGTTCTTTCTCATTAGTGTCACTTGTAAGCTAATATTTGCTTCTTGTTTTTTTTGGGGGGGGCGGGCATTTCTCTATCAGGACCTGCAGGACATCATGACGCAGTTTGAGATTTTAAAGCAAAAACACACAAATGCAACAGTTGAGGATGAAGCTGCAGATCAACTGCAGAAAATCTTAAAGGAGGCTAAAGACATGCAGACACAAGTGGAGGAGAAACTCCAACAGATGACAGGTTTGAAAGTTTCCCTTCTGATATTCAGGCTGACCTTAAAAAAAAACCACGAGAAGTTACTCTGAATCTTTACTGAACAGGTGATTATCAATTTGTCGAAGGCATAAGAATATTGTTTTTGACTGTACATTTGCGTGTTTGTGTTTGTTTGTTAGCTAAATATCTCATTGGACAGATTTTAAAGAAATATGTGTGATGAGTAAATAAAAAGAGAACGCAAGGATGTGCAAATAAAGAGCACTGTTCAATTCCCAATGAAACATAATGAACATGTCAAACATTTAAATGGAGAATATTAAGATAATCTGATGGCATAGCACTTCTCAAAGGTTTGGACAGGGACAACTAGACGTAAAAAGCAATCAGTGTGGATAAGAAGCAGTTGAAGGAGTAAGAAGACTGGGTATTATGAAAAAAACTGAAACTTCTCCATCCACACCATCCTGCCTGGACTCTTCTTCACCTCTTTACCACATTCTCCATTTTCCTGGACAGTGGACCCCAAGTCCTTGAAGTCCTGCACCTTTGTGACCTCTGCTCCTTGTAGCCTCACTGTTCCACCTCCTCCCTCTCATTCACACACATGTGCTCTGTCTTACTACGGCTGACTTTCATTCCTCTTCTTTCAAGTGCATACCTCCACCTCCAAGTTCTCTACACATGCTTCTTAAAGTTCTATCATGCAAAGTAGTACACTGCCATCTTGTCTGGGCCAAAATAATGCCAGGCCTTTGGCTAATGAACAGCTAATCCCATCAGTGTCACCTGTCAACTAATGACTAATGTTTAATGTTCAAAGCTACTTTAAAATGGACTGCAGCAAAGCGTAATATTATTCTGTAATAAGACTAAGTAAATTTGAAATTATTTGTGGAAACCATGGTCCTCCATATTAAAGAGCAGAAGAGCCGTCCAACCTGTTATAAGCACTTCGTACAAAAGCCTGCCTCTCTAATGATATAGGGGTGCATTAGTACTTATTGCAGGAGAAGCTTACACATCTGGAGAATCACCATCAATATAGCAAAGCATATTCACTATAAGTTTTAAAACAACATATGTTAACATCCAGCAAGAAATCCAGCAAAGACCTGCAACCATTGAACAGCCAGAATCCTACATCAGACAAAAACAGAATAGTCAACTACAAAAACTCTAGAAGCTCGTTTCCTCAGTTCACAGATGTTTACAGACTGTTGTTAAAAGAAGAGGGGACGTGTCACAGTTGAAAATATGGCTATCTCGTCCATCCATCCATCCATCCATCCATCCATCCATCCATCCATCCATCCATCCATCCATCCATCATCTTCCACTTGTTCCAAAGTCAGGTCTCGGAGCAGCAGCTTGAGCAGGGAGGTCCAGACATCTCTTTCCACAGCCACCTCTTCCAGCTCTTCTCAGAGGACTCCAAAGTTTTCCCAGGCCAACCAAGAGACATAGTCTGTCCAGCGTGTCCTGGGTCTTGCCTGGGGTCTCCTCCCAGTTGGACATGCCCAGGCGCCCAGGAAGCATCCTTACCAGATGCCTGAACCACCTCAACTGGCTCCTCTCAATGTGGAGGAGCAGCAGTTCTACTCTGAGTCTCTCCTGGATAACTGAATTTCTCACGCTGTCTCTAAGGGAGAGTCCAGCTACCCTGCAGAGGAAAATAATTTCAACCGCCTGTATCTATGATCTCATTCTTTCAGTCACTACCCAAAGCTCATGACCAGAGGTGAAGGTAGGAACGTAGACCAACCAGTAAACAGAGAACTTTGCCTTACAGCTCAGCTCCCTTTTCACCACAATGGACCAGCACAGATTCCACAATACTGCAGATACTGCACAAATCCACCTGTCAATCTCACGCTCCATTCTTCTCTCATTCGTGAACAAAACCCTGAGATACTTGAACTCCTCCATTTGAGGCAGAACCTCACCCTCGACCTGAAGAGAGCAATCCATCCTCTGACTGAGGACCATGGCCTCAGATTTGGAGGCTGTCTGGCTCCACGTGGCTGTCTCAGGTTTCTTTAAAATGCATTGCTTACATCAAATTCATTTTTGTTTTTTCTTAAAACAATACAAATTTTTATGTTAAACATTTATGTTTACAATGCCCCATTGTAAATAATAAATAATAAATGGGTTTACTGGATTTACAAATCAATGCATTCTTTTTTTTTTTTTTTTACTTTGAACAATTGTCTCTACTTTTTCATAATTAGGGTTGTAGTTCCTACTTTGAGTTCTGCATTTTTAAGTTTAGTCTCTGTGAGTTGCTTTTATTTGTTTGTGATTAGGTGTTTCCTCCTGATAGATGGTTGAACTTTCCTGTGAATGTGTGTCTGGCAGATTTGGAGCAGAAGATCCAGCAGCTGCTTGACTTAAAGAAACAAAAAGCAGCAGAAGTGTCTGGGTTGTTGGGGACGGTGGATTCACTGCAGAAGGAAATTGTCACTCAAGCTGAAAGATATCAAACCTGCAGCTCCTAAATACAGCAGACACCTAAATGCTCAAATCTAGTAATGTTTCTGCTTTAATGTCTATGACTGTCTGAAAATGTTACAATGTTTAAATGTTTTGTGGGGAATAAACTATTGCAAGTTACATCTGTGATCCTTTGAACTGTCAAAAAATAACTGAACAAAATGCATAATTACACAAACACAAAGGTCATTCAGTAAAATGCAGTAGAGAGTCCAATAAAATCATTTACTTTGCTTTTAAAAAAATAAATGAATTATTGCAAAGGAAATGTTATAACCAGATTTTTTAAATTAAACCAGTCATCTATCCATCCATTATCAGTCACTTGGCCTGTATTTGGGTCATGAGTACAGCTTCTTGAGCAGGGAGGTGCAGACATCCCTTTCCAGAGCCACTGCTTCTAGGGAAATTCCATGGTGTTCCTAGGCCAGTTGAGAGATGTTGTGTCTCCAGTGTGTCTCCTGTCTTTTTGTCCATGTCTGTTTCCAGACCATACAACATAGCTGGTCTCACCACTGTCTTTGTAAACTTTTCCTTTGACCTTTGCTGACACCCTTTTGACACAAATCACTCCTGAAACTTTTCTCCACACTTTATGTAAGCATTCCTTGGTGTCTTCTCGCAGTTGGACATGTGAGAGCCTATAGCTAACCTATGGAGAAAGCCCATTTCAATCAAGGTCAAGCTTCTTTATTGTTATTCGCATCGCATGTGATACATACGGTGGAAGGAAATTGTGTACACAGGGTTCCAGTTACATCCAACAAAATTATAAATTGTAAAGAAAAACAGTAATAAGATATGAACTAAGAAACAAGTTAAACTAAGAATATGCTAAACACTTAATAGTGTAAAAACAGTAATATGCAGAACAGCAGCACGGACATGAGTCTGTGTGAGCAGCTGAGTACAAATGAACACAGCAGCATGAAATAAATCGGCAGCATGAGATCAGCAGCATGGATAGTCAGCAGCAGATATCAACAATCAAGTGGCATTACAGTGATTTTTTTTCCCCACAGTGATTATCTCAGTTCATGAGTCTAACAGCTTCAGGGTAGAAGCTGTTCCTCAGTCTAGTGGTTCTACACTTAATGTTCCTCAACCTCCTTCACGAGAGAAACAGGGCAAAAAGTGTATGTGCTGGGTGAGTGGGGTCCTTCATGATGCAGGTGGCCCTTTTCCTGCATCTGGAGGTGTAGATATCAGGACTTCTGTGCAGCCTTCACCACTCTCTGCAGAGCTTTTCTTTCTGCAGCTGTGCAGCCTCCATGCCACACAACGATGCTGGAGCACAGGCTGCTCTCCACTGCACACCTGTAGAAGGAGGTGAGGACTGAGCTTCTCAGACCAGCTCGTCACAGCCGCCTGAGGAAGTAGTCTCTGATTATTACATGCAGTGTTCCTTCAGTGAGAACTGAACTAGGCAAAAGGGCCTTCTCTTTTGTAAATGAGTCTCAGTAGAATTAACCTATCTAAAAAAAGATTGAATGATGTTCTTTCTTGATCAGGCTGCTGGTGGTGTTTCCCCAGCTGAGGTTGTCATTCAGGTGCACACCCAAGTACTTGTAGCTGGAGACCACTTCCACCGCAGATCCTCCTATATATATTTTTTAATTTATATATATATATTTTTTTTATTGGAGGGGGGGGGGGTTGTTTCGTATGAAATCCACGACCATCTCCTTTGTCTTCTTCACATTGATGTGAAGGTTATTCACCTTGCACCAGTCCTCCAGGTGTTCCACCTCCTGCCTGTAGCTGGACTCATCATCGTTTGTGATGCATCCCACCACCGCTGTATCATCTGCAAACTTTACAATATGACAGCCTGGATGGGTAGGTGCACAATCATACGTGAGCAGAATGAACAGGAGGAGGCTCAAAACACAGCCCTGTGGGGAGCGAGTGCTGAGGGTTATGGAGGAGGAGGAGAATTTGTGGATTCTCACAGACTATGGTCTGCTCCCTAAACAGATCTCTCTTGAAAATGAGTTATCGTGGCTCAATGAGACTACCCGTATAAATAAAGGGTATTTATTTATTATTGAAAGAAAACTACAAAAAAAAAAAGCAGCACCTGTCTGGAGTTTTCAGTTTTTCATTTTCTTTTTTTGTCCTATTGGTTGGTTCCCGCTCCATCTGCTCCTGTTAACTCTTCGTCCTGTCCCATCCCAGTCCTGTGAGTTATAATAACGTTGACTCCCGTTGGAATCCTGTGGGAATCCCGTGACCCGCAGCATTCCTGAAAAAATGTCATCCACTAATACGGACGTAGGAGTCCTTCTGCTCCAGGTGGATAAGTAAGTAAACTTTATTTATGTAGCACTTTTCATGGATAAAATCACAAAGTGCTTTACAGAAATACAGAATATAGGCTTAAAATAATACAAAAACAAGAAGAACAGCTGATAAAAACAGCAAATAAAACATTTAACTAAAAGCTTGTCTGAATGAAAGTGTCTTAAGCTGCTTTTTAAAAGGAATCAACAGAGATGGTCACATGAAGAGACGGGCAGTACATTCCACAGTCAGGGGCTACAGCCTGAAAGGAAAGGTCACCCCGAGTTTTAAACCGGGTCTTAGGGACCTTTAGGAGGTTCAGCGCTGAAGACTGAAGGGTGCAGGCTGGAGGATAAGGAATCAACATTTCAGTAATGTAATGGGGGGCCTGTCCCTTTAAAGCTATAAAAGTCAAGACCAAATTTTTTAAAATGAATTCTAAATTCAACCGGCAGAAAATGAAGAGAAGATAGAACTGGTGTGATGTGAGACCTTTTATTAGTTCCTGTTAAAAGCCTCGCAGCAGCGTTCTGGACCAACTGGAGACGAACGACAGCAGATTGGTTAAAACAAGTAAAAAGGGAATAAAAACAGGAATAATCATCTCCAGGTCAGATTTGGATAACATTGTCCTCAATTTGGAAATGTTTCTCAGATGATAAAAGCAGCTGTTTGTTTTTGTTACCAGAAGCTTTGAAGGTTTTTCCAAAGACATTGGCTGGTTGAACAGAACTCCGAGGTTTCTTAGCTGAGAAGAGGAGTCCAGAAAAACAAGGTGTTGCTTGATCCAAGGAACTTTCCACAAACAAGGTGTACCTTTAAAACCAATTGTTAGTATGATTAACTCTGTCACTTACAATGTTTCCAAATATCTGGCGTCTGTACTCATCCCTTTAGTTGTCTGATAGAGGACATTTGCAAACTGAGGTGTACCGCAAACCCACCCACACAGACCAGTATTTGCAGTTTGACTCCCATCACCCTTTGGAGCACAAGTTTGGAGTCATCAGGACTCTGTATCACAGAGCAGACAGCGTCCCCACTAACTCAGGAGCCAGGCAGAAGGAGAAATCCTACACAAGACAGGCTCTAGAGCAATGTGGATATCCTAACTGGGCCTTCCTGAAAGCAGAGAAGAAACCCAAACAGGACTCCAGTCAGCCAACAGGTGAAAAGGAGGAACCCAGACCCAGACCAGTGGTCATTCCATATGTTGAGGGAGTATCAGAGAAACTGAGACGTTTATTTTCTAAACATAACGTCCCAGTGGCTTTTAAACCCCAAAATACATTACGACAAAGACTGGGTTCATCCCAAAGACCCAGTCCCCCGGCACAAACAGAGAAATGTTGTGTATGCTGTTCAGTGTCAGGAGGGCTGTGATCAGTCTTACATCGGGGAAACTAAACAGCCACTGGCCAAAAGGATGGCCCAGCACAGAAGATCAACATCATCAGGCCAGGACTCTGCGGTCTACACTCATCTCCAGGCCAACGGTCACTCTTTCAGGGATGAAGATGTTCACATCCTGGACAGAGAGGAAGGATGGTTTGAGAGAGGAGTAAAGGAGGCCATCTTTGTGAAAAGAAATCGTCCATCGTTAAACAGGGGTGGAGGCCTCCGGGTTCAACTGTCCCCCTCTTACAATGCTGTGATTGCTAGTATCACTCAGCCCTCTGTGAACAGTAAACAGCCATCAGTGTGCTAATGACCCATTGTTAGGCTCATGGTCCTTCTTGAGCATGTGATCAGCTGGTTTTGGTTGTCAGCAGCAAAACTGGTTGATCCACTCTGAGAAGGTGCTATTTAAGAGACTGAGCTGAATACAGCTCCTCAGACTGAGGAAGTCTCTCGGATGAGAGACGAAACGTTTCTACATTTTTTTGTTGATTTGCTTTGGGTTTTTTTTTTTAATGTCCAGAGGACCAGATTGAACTTTTTTAGATTTTTCTACCTGGATTATTGAGCATGCATCAGGATACAAGGAACTTTCTGTTCAGGAGCAATGATCAGCAATGACAAGCGGCCATCTGCTTTGACCGGCTGGGTTTGAGAGGACAGGAAGGAGAGACAAACAAACACAGAAAGGTAGGTCCAGATGTAGGTCCAGGTGAACCTGAAAGACAAAAACACGTTAGGATAGAAAATATTATTACAAATACAAAACAGGTTGAGCAGAGTAAGTAAAGAACACCATCTCCCCTGTGGTCCACACTGCTCTCACCCACCTGGAGCAGGACTCTTACGTCTGTATGCTCTTTGTGGACTTCACATCCGCCTTCAACACCATGATCCCCCAAACCCTGATGGACAAACTACTCACACTAGGACTAAGCCCTTCCATTGTCAACTGGGTACTAGACTTCTTAACAAACAGACCACAGTCAGTGAGGATCCGCAACTTCTCCTCCTCCACCATAACCCTCAGCACTGGCTCTCCTCAGGGATGTGTGTTGAGCCCATCCTGTTCACTCTGCTCACGTATGATTGTGTAGCTATCCATCCAGGCTGTCACATTGTAAATTTTGCAGACGATACAGCGGTGGTGGGATGCATCGCAAACAATGATGAGTCCAGCTACAGGCAGGAAGTGGAACACCTGGAGAGCTGGTGCAAAGAGAATAACTTTCACATCATTGTGAAGAAGACAAAGGAGATGATTGTGGACTTAAGAAGGAAAAAAAAAAACCACCTACACCACCTGAATATAAGAGGATCTGCAGTGGAAGTGGTCTCCAGCTACAAGTACTTGGGTGTACACATGAATGACAACCTCAGCTGGAGCAACAACACCACCAGCCTGATCAAGAAA